GCATTTTTACACATAGAATTACAAGAGAAGATCTACATGTTGCAGCCACCTGGATACGAAGCATTAAAAAACTTGGTTTACAAACTGGAAAAGTTTTATGATGAAGTTAGCAGTATAAAAAATTTGATCAGTTCATGAGGAGACAGAAGTACATGAGGAGCCAATATGATCATTGTGCATATTTCAAGAAGTTGGCCAATTGTGATTTCATTGACATGCTTCTACATGTTAATTATATGTTGATTGCATTTGTCACACAGATTGAGGTTGATATGATGAAGAATCAACTATCCAAGCATTTTGAAATGATTCTATTGTTGAATGCATTTGTCAGTCATTCTGAAATGATTATATTGAGGTTGATGTGACATTATTATTGTGTGAAAGCAAGTATTTCAAGAAGTTGACCAATGGTGAGTTCAAGAGGAGACAGAAGTACAAAGTGACATTTTGAAACTAATGGTGTTTTGTGATAAATAGTGTAATACTGTTAACCACGAATCTATTTCATCATGCTCATACCACTTTGTTTGGGACTTGATTGAAGAAGTCAAGGTTCTGTTGAAGAAGATAGACAAAGGAGTATTCAACGGACATTCTCACAATGGTACTACTTGTCTAGAAGTTTACTTGCTACAAAAATTTGGTAAACATTTGAGCTCAGGATGTTTTGCCCAAGTGGAAATTTTGAAAAACTATACAAGACTTGATCCCTTCGGGAGGGGAGTACGCAGAGTTTAGAGCTTATTTGGTCATGTCTTAATTATCTGGAAGTAAGAGATGAGGTGAAAATTATTTTGTTTATGACATTATCTACTTTTATTGTAATTGGAGGTATTTTTCTTTTTTTTTTTGTTTTATTTACTTGTATGTCCTTGTCCTCCTCTATAAAAGGAACCTAGGGTTTATGAGAGGTGGTTATGGAGAGATGTGTTGAGTTGTAACCCAAAGTTGTTTTTTTTCTCCCATCCAGTGCTAGTAAAAATACCATACCCATCGACATAGACGAATCAGTTTAACGCTAAACCACATAAATATTTGGTGTTTGATTGTTTTTATGTGAATTTATACGCTTCCGCATTATTTTCGCACAATAATAATGAGACTTCAATGGCTGGTTAGTTTCATAATTTTTTTAAAATAGACATGTATATTATCTATGTCAAATTGTATTTGTCTCCCTATATCTATATCGATGTTACTTTGCTTCAATATTTTATTTTGTTCTTTTTTTTTCTTTTTTTGCTTATTTTCTTTAAATTTTATTTATGGCAAATGTGTATAAACAATTCTATTTTGTATGTGAACAATTTTTTTATTTTTTGTCTATAGGAATTAATTTTAGATTTTCTTTTATTTCTTTATTTTCTCACAAATATAAATTTAATCATGAGAAAATCTTGCATACAAATCACTCTCTGATATTTCACTGTTGAATATTTGAACTTCTTATTTACATTGTTAATAAATTAATTTTAAAGCCTTTCATTTTTTTTTTTAAATATAATGTAATAAAATATAGAATTCGTACACTTATCAAACGAAGATTTCATTTTCCAAATTTTCGTACCATGGCCCTGTTTTGGTTAGAATGTTGCAACCATGGGATATTTGAGTATAATCTAAACGTATGTATATTTTATAGAGAAAATACATCAATATAAAAGAAAAATTAATGAAAAAAAGGGTCATTCCATTGAATTGTTGCCCTAAGAATTAATAAAAGTCTATTCCCCTATTCTCTTTTCTCCAGGTCATGGTTTCGGGCGCTCCTACGCTCAAGTTTGGCACTCTTGTGCCCACACGGACCATGATGAATGCTCCTGTGCACACGTCTGAGGCGTTCCAGACATTTCTCTTCAGGACGCACTTCTTGGCGCTCTTGCAGTAGGTTTGGTTGTTTTTGCTTTCAATTTAAAATATCTGTTTTTCGCGACAAAAAGTGAGAGTTCCAGCATATGAGTTCTTCGACAATTTTCCTGTGAATAACAGAAGTGTCGGAGAGAATGATTTTAGGTGCACTTCTCTTGTCGGATCGAGCGAAAGGATTTGGAGCGAAGTGCTGTAAGTTTTTTTTTTTTTTTTTATTGTGAAGAGAAAATCTGAGTATTTATTGTAAAGAGGAAATCTATGCATATCATCTGTAAACTTCCTAAATTCATGGTGAAATTTCTCGGTAGTGTGATTCCATGATTTTTTTTGCGTTCTCTGATTTTTCAACGTTAAATCTTAATATGTTTTCCCAGGTTGTCCTTGTTGTGCTTCTATTTGTATACTTTGTTTTCGAGTCTGTGCAATAATTGCTTCTTGACTTGAGCATTTGATGAAATCATTATTTGAAATACATTCTCACAAATGAATAGAAACATAAAGCTTGGATGATGAAGTGATATGATGATGATCATGCTATTGTATCTTAGGGGTGCCAAAATCTTGGCTAAATTTTTCAGAATTTGCAGTAGATTTCAATGCAAGCTATAAGCAATATCTTTTAATGTTATTGATGTGTCGCACATATATATTATAAACCTCAAAATGGATAAATCCACAACCTTTAATCTAGTTATTATATATAAATGACTCAAATTTAGTGTAAACATTTTAAATTCACTCGAGACCTCCCTAAATATTTTAACATGAATCAGCCTAAAATAGGTAAGCTGACTTGCGTCTACGATTTGACTCATTACATCATAAATACTAAATACTTCAATGTATATATATCTCATTCAAAAGTGGTGCTACTAAAAAAAAAATTAAAAAAAACAGCACTTCATTGTTTCAAGCAAGATTTAATAAAGAATGCGTAGCATATTAGTTGAAAACAAAGTCATGATATTATCATACACTTCATTCTGGTGCTAAAAATCTTTAATTAATTCGAACTTATTTCTCATTATTATGTTATAAATTATCACCATTTCATTCTTATCGACTAATTTTGAGCTTCTTCATAAATTCAAGTACTCCTATTTAGCTAGGGTCAATTAGTAAAGAACTTTATCTCCTCACTCTTATTCGAAAAATGTATAGCTTAATTCTAACATATATAGTTACGCCAAAACCTCAAACTAAGAAAAAACAAAGGTGTTTACATACATAACTAGGGCTGTCACCAAATCGGCTCGTTGTTCACGAGCAGCTCGTGTTCAGCTCGTTAAGAAGCTCGTGGTCTGCTCTTTAACTTCGTTCGATAAGTTAACGAGCCGAACAGAATCAAAGATGTGTTTTGTTCGTGTTAGGCTCGTTTTGGCTCGAAATACTACTCATCAAGTTTATATATATATATATATATATTTTTACCATCCGCAATATATATACTCGGCTCGTGTTCGGCTCGTTTACACCCCTACATCATAGGATTCTTATATAATTAACTGTTTAGTTCTAATTTTTATTTATTTACATACATATATATCACTCAAATTCTACATATCAACTCACACAGTAACACTATTATTAATTTGCTAAAGGGAAATATACCTTACATGCATATATTTTTAATAATGATGTGTTATAAATATAACTATCAAATTTTAAGTCTTAGATTGCATATACAAAAAAAAAAATTATACGTCATGTATTTAAATTAAAAAAAAAAACATACAAAAAAGGGCCATCTTTACATGCCACACAATTCTTATATATTTATATATTTAACACTTAAGCATTCATATTTACCCCCATAAAATTTCAATACCAATATATTATAAACGTAAATAACAAACTTTAGGTATTTGATATGTAAATTCATAAGATTTTTGTGGCATGTAAAAAACTTCTCAAAAAAATAAAAAAAAAGACAAAGGAGTTCTTGTGGACCGAGATGCCACACCTATCTCCACAAAAATGAATGAAAGAAACTAAAATATGGAGTTGTCAGAGTGAGACTTCAGATTGCAACATCTGTGGTTGGACGTTGCATTACAGCAGAAGAACCGAAACAAATGGTGGCAGGATATACAATCGGGATTCGTGGCTACTACTAAAATCATATCGTCTAATCCTATCCTCTTCTACCCTTCTAGACCTCCGCTCGTCACCAAATTTTAGTGGAGCAAACCTATCGCCACTGCAATTATCACTTCATCAATGTAAGAGGACGATTGATTTACTTGACGAAAAGAATGCGGTATAATATACATTAAGAAAAATCACATCAATACATAGTACAAAGTTATAAAACTTTTTTTTTAAAATTTATGATTATAATATATATATATATATATATCTAGGATAAACCACTTACTATTTTCATTATTGAATTAAACTCAACTAAACATATTTTTGACATTTTTTCAGCAAGTTAGTATCTTGACATACCCATATTAATTAATGCGAAGTAAGTCATTTATCCATCCTGCGAAGGGAAATTTACATACATACCACATGATTATTATGTATTTACATATCCAATATAAAAAATTTAATACTAACATTACAAAATTTGGTGCCATCAATTAATTTATGCATGAAAATATTTACTTCATTTTGGTGATGTTCTAATGTTATAATAAAAATTTGAATGATGTCCATGTATAAATATGAATGTTAATTTAGCCGTCATATAATTAAATAATATAAGAGACATTTGCATGCACATACCGCACAATCATAAATTTTGATATTTGCATGCATGCCACTCAAATCTCTAAGCTCACAAAAAATGCCACTATAAATAACTGCTAAAAGTGAAATACACACTTCTGAAGTAAATGCTTACAATATCAAAGTACTATGAATGCAATAAATATCAAACATATAGGTCTAAGAAATGTAAATACATAATAATTATGTGTCATGTATGTAAATTTCCCGAACAATAGTCATCCCGTTTATCCAGCATGGATAAATGAAATATTTGTCGCAACTTTCAACGGTATGGAAAATGATGTCACTTGTTTATCCAATGGTCATGCAGCGACGTTCTCTTCTCCGACCATTTCTTAGCCTCAGTTACATCCACTTGACGTGCCGGTGACCACTAACAAGGAATTAAGTTTTCTGTTCCTCGCACGATGTCTACGGCAGTTCTAAACGGTTGCTGCTTCTTATCCTCCCTCGCCAACGGCTCCAAGTCCCGCACTACTATTTTAGCCTCCTCTTCCCCTCTCACAAACCCTAATCCTTCCTCTTCGAGCTCATCTCCGCTCCCATTGGTTTTCGCAAGCCCCCATCTTGTCCGTAACGCTCCCGTTCTCGCTACTCCGTCTACCCTCGCCACCTCCGTGGTATGTTCTCCTAATGTAATGTAATTTCTCTTGTATCAATGAAAAAAAGTACGTGCAGAGTTTGCATATATGAATGTTGTACAAAATATTGTCTTATAAAGAGTTTACATGCATGTGAATTTTGCAGTTAATATTTTATTTAATCAAGCATCTTGGCCTCAAACGATGAATGCTCTTATTAAAAGTATATAACATTGCATTAAAATTTATTATCCTAATAATTGACTTATATTTTTCTTAACTTTATAATTTTGTATGTTTATATTTCTCTCTCTTATAAGTTTGGTGATATTATCTTTATAGTTATTTATATCTCTTTATGAAATACTAATTTTATGTTTTTAATTCAATTATTTATAGTATTATCAATTGAAATTTTAACTTTGCCCGCACTAAAATATTTATCGGATTTTTTCACGAGAAAATATCATGTACAAAACAAGCATTAGCGGCCAGAGTCAACATGAAGAGAGAAGGCGAGAGAAACTCTCTCTATCTCTTTTCTCTCTATTCCTATTGGCCGACCTTAAGTGCGGGCTCCACATTTACTACTCTATCTATTTCTTTTGCCAATTATATCACATACTCTTTTTATATGACAATTCTTATGCAAAAAATGAATAATTTATATAAAGGCATGCATCTATCTTATTTCATGATATGGTGCGCACATTTCATTAGCTAAGATGTTGATACACACAAATATATAAATATATATATATATAGAGAGAGAGAGAGAGAGAGAGAGAGAGAGAGAGAGTGAGGGAGGATATCAGACTCACATCAAATTACCGCTTTCGATCACTTTCTATTTAAGGAAAAAAAACTATAAACGGAAACGTTTTATTTGGGACCAGAAATGCAATGTGCGCAACAGCTATAATAAATGCTAAATTTTCGTATTTATTTTTTTTTTCCAAATACTTTTAATTCCTTAAATTCTGTTCGCTGCTTCAATGCCGCAGACGTGCAGAACCCGAATTAACGACTTCAGTTATGCATCTTCAACTTCTTAATGATTTCCCACACGCAAATGGCCTCATTGATTTATTTTAAATGTCTGTCTTCCACTCGCTAAACTTTATAATTAGTTGGCGTTGTCTTCTTTATATAAATTAGTTCTTCCTTTCTTGCAGATAGTGTTGTTTATGTTATCACTACAATTAGAAACTATTATTTTTTGATAAAATAAAATAAAATAAAGTTTGTTTACTTTCTTCCACTCACCTTGCCAATTGCCACTAAAGGGGCACGAATATTACGTTTGCACTCCTGGATGATTAGAAAGTGATTAAGATAAATAACAGCTAAAAGTGAAAACTAGTAGCTGATTATTTATATGTGGCCGTTTTAGTGTTAGTTTATAAAATTATTAAAATACTTTCTAATTATTTAAAATTGAACTCTAATAGCTCTCTATAAGGGCTTTAATAGTGTTTTAATATTTCTGTAAATTCTGAGACTTACAGGATTTCATGTAAATAGTCAAGTATTATTTTGATTAAAAATAATTTGTGGATAAGCTAGGTGCGATGATCATTAAAATTTTTTTCTTTTTGGAAAAGCACAACTGCAGCCGACAAGCTGCTACCGGTGTGAGAACGCTCTTTTCAGCATTTTGAAAACGCATAGCGTTTTGATAAATAATAGATTTAACTTTCTAGATTCAGCCCAATTGCCTTATAATAAAATTTTGGCAAATTTCAGCATTTTGAAAACGCATAAACTGTCAAAACGTTATTTTAACGTTTTGATAAATAATAGATTTAACTTTCTAGTTTCAGCCCAATTGTCTTATAATAAAATTTTGGCAAAAAAAAACTTCCTAGAAAATCTAAAGACAAGAAATTAGATTAAAATTTTAATTTGGTAAATTCAATTTCAAATAAATACTGCAAAATAATCGATTTATTATTTACACAACACACAAAATAGAAATTAAAAAAAAAAATTTAGAAATTACAATTTCATCACTGAAATGGCAACACAGCTGTATTTCACTAGAGACGTCAGTGGGCCCCACAAAATTGTCGACGCGTCCCCCTTCCGCTCCTCCCACCTCGCTATAAAGCCGGACACCATAATGAAATCCACGCGACATAAATCAAAAGTGTCTTTCCTCCCTCCCTATTGAATCTTCTCCGGATTTATTGGACACCGTAATTTCGCCATTCCATTCTTCTTTTTTAAAATATATAAATATTTTTTTTATTCCCTTTGCTTCTTTTTTATTTTTCCTTTTTCAAATTTCCTCCGCAGCTCAATTTCTTCTATTTTGTCTCTCTGATCGGCTTTATAATTTATGCTCTTTTTTGCTTTGAATTTATTTGAATTTATGAATAATTGCAGGAAATGGAGTCCGTCCAACGGCTGAAATCAGGGTTCGAGCAGTTTAAGAAGGAAGTTTATGAGTGCGTTTGTATTTTTTCCTCTTATTTTCTGCTTTAAGAAATATAGTAGTTTCAGTTTTTTCCACTTTATTCTTCTCCTTTGAATCGTTATCTGTTTGAAGCCATGGAGGATTCGTGTATATTCAGATACAATCATATTTAATAATTCATTAATTTCATGATGTGCGTTAATTCTTTTTTATTAGATTGTTTCTGATGCAGTTGTTTGAAGAAGCAGTTATTGTTCATGATTTTTTTGGTTCAATTTTTCTGATAGGAAGAAGTCCGAGGTGTTTAAGCAGCTTGCCGAAGGCCAGAGTCCAAAGGTAAGTCTTTGCATTTAATTTCACTAAACATCACCTTATAGGGAAAATAGCAAAAAATTAAAATTAAAATTCAGCCGAATTATAGTTAAAAATCTCAGTTTATTTTAAGTAATTTATTATTATGTAAATATATATTGATTCGTTTACTGTTGTTTCATTGGTTGTCTCGTCTAAGGCCTACTAAAGCCAAAAATCAGTCTACCATTCTCCAAGTAGAACTTCAAAACAATTTTATTAATCTTATCTTGACCGTAGGATCATTAGATTAAAGGAAGATTTACATACACGCCCTTAATTTTTAGGTATTTACATATTTGCACCTAAAATTCAGGTTTATATATGTCACTTTATCTATGTATGGAAAGATATGTAAATGTTAAAATAAGCATATTTTTATGTGATGCTGAATATAGAAAATAAAGGTTGGGTGGGTTAGATAAATAAATACGTAGAAATTGGGTGTTATGTATGTTAAATGGCTCTAAATCAGAAATATGTTGAATAAATTTTATGATTTTTGATTGGGCAGTTTCTGGTGTTTGCGTGTTCGGATTCACGCGTATGTCCATCGGTACTGTTCAACTTTCAACCTGGTGAGGCTTTTACCATCCGCAATATAGCTAACATGGTCCCACCCTACGACAAGGTATCATCACTAATCTTATTTTTATTTTCATTTTTATTTACTTATGAGTAATTAATTTTATATTGTATAAGGCTAAAATGGTTATATTATTATTTTTTTAGTTATAGACGTAATAGCAATAAGGGGGTGTGAAGGAGCCGAGTTTGAGCGAGCGTAGGCTCGACTCGTGTTTGGCTCGTTAAAAATTGTTATTTTTCGTGTTCGATTTGTTTACATATTGAGCGCAAAAAATTTGTACGTGTTCGACTCTTTTGCTTGGCGAGCCGAACACGAGTTGTTCGTGAACAACAAGCCATTTTGACAATACTACTCACATTATGTGGAATACATACAAATTGATTATATTCAAATATTCATTTAAATAGAAGTTAATATACTTTATTCTATTTTTTTTTATAATTAATAATTTAAATTGATTATAAAACTTTGTAACTCAGTAGTCATTTAAATTATCTAAAAATAATACTCATTTATTTGGAGTCAAAACGAGGCGAACAAGAATGAACAAAACTTAGTTTGTGTTCCGCTTGTTTATATATCGAGCACACAAAAATATTATTCATGTTCGACTTGCTTCTTAACGAACGAATCTAATACAAGCTACTTAATGAGTCGAACATGAGCTGTTCGCGAATAATATATATATATAGATATATATTATTTCATGAAATTTGACTTGTATTGGACCAGTGGAGCATATCACAAGTAGTTGTCATCAACATATCTCCAGCTTATAAAATGTTTAATGTACTTAATTAAGTCTAATTCTTTTTTAATAAAAAGATATATTGGAATGCATTATTAAGTTTTTAATTTCTACTATGATTTAATGATATGATGAAGTATTTGCATTTCAGGTGGAGAATATTATTGTTATTGGTCATAGTCGTTGTGGAGGCATCAAAGCGCTCCTCTCTATTAAAGACGAAGGTACCCTTGGCACGTAAGTAAAACATATATATGTTTAGTGTTACCATATTATTATTATTCTTTTAAGTTTATCATTATTTTGAATATAAAATGTTTAATTTGTTTTGGTAAGGCAAACGACGAATAAAGTTAAATGGGGTCATTGAGTTATTAATTTGGATTAATTCTAACCATCCTTTAGGCGCCCCACTAACGCTAGGGCACCCCTTAAATGATGGTTCTTGCTGGTGACTTTTCTTTGTCAATCAGGATATATACATAACAATCTCCTATTTGGAAACTGTTTTGCACTCAAGTCTTCTCCCCTAAATTTACACCTTCTTCAAGATTGTGTAATGTAGTGTGGTTCACCCCCTTGGTCTCAACCTTCTTGAACTCTAATTGAAGCTAAGCACAACTTCAATTTTTCAATTATAACTATGTTTTTTGGTCATTTTCCAAATAAACCCCCTCTTAGATCATATGGAATGATCCGAAGACGAGAGAAACTGAAAAATGGAATATACAAAAGAATTAATTAAATAAACAAAGTAAAGAGAAACTGAAAAATGGAATATACAAAAGAATTAAATAAACAAAGTTAAATAAACAAAGGAAAAAAAAAAAACATGGAGGGATTTTGTATAGGTAATCCTTGTGTTATAGGTCGAAACTGCACGTCTAAACAAGATCATATCGAAATACCTCAAAACACAGTATCCACGAAGAGAATCCTTACATAAGTCACCCATAACCAATGAACCAAAAAGAACATTTTTGTAATGGGGTCAAGAGCACTCTTAAAAAACGTATCTCTTTGGTTATTTACATCTTGGGGGATACCCAACTATACTCTCGATGAATGAATTCTTTCTTAAATTATTGTGATAATCATTAAATGGGTCATCAAACTGATGGTTATTTCACTGGAACATTCTGATGCTTTCAAAGCTCTCGCTAAGTCATAGGGCAGAGAGTGTATCTCACACATCCCAAATGGGTAGCGAGTCATCGGCAATCAGGGCCTGTGAAATAATCAGGTCAACTCATAGGGTCCACAATATACTTCCAAGGCTAAATCAGGTCATAAGGGTAGAGGGTGGATCACCATATCATCAATGGACGACAACCTATTTGCAATCGGGGCTTACAAGATGTACTCACTATTTGATATAAATTTGTCATACCTCATGAACTACTATTTTGGGGTCTGCTTCAAACCAGAAATGCATTTTTTCAATCTACAGACCATGCATTTTTTACTTGGAATTTCATATCCTTGCGATTGTACCATATATAGTCTCTCTTCAAACTCAACTTGTAAGAAGGTTGACATTACATCCATTTAATCCAGATGTTGATCTTCCTTTCCTATCAAGCTCAACACAAACTTGATATTTATCACATTTACTATAGGAGAAAATATGTTTGAGTAGTCAGCTTCTTCCATATGTTTAAACCCTTTCACAACAACTCTTGCCTTGTACCGACTACTACCATCAAACTCTTTTTTCAGCTTGTAAATTCAATTATTATATATTAACTTCTTACCATTTGGTAAGTTTACCAAATCTTAAGTCTAATTTAACCTCAGTGACTACATCTCATCATCTATAACAAACTCGCAATTTTTTAGGTCTTCAACTTGAGTGGCCTCTTTATTGCACTCTAGTTTATTATAATTAGTTAACAAAAGATAGTACGAAGAAGGAAAACACCTCAGTATCAGTCGTGTGACTCTCTGGACCTCCTGACTTTAATAGCAGGTGACTGAGAAACTTCTTGTGTATCATCTGATTGAGCACCTATTCTTTTTCCATCCTACTGATCATTAGTATCTTATATCTCAATATATTTTGAGTACTCTTTAAAAGGAACTAATGAAAAATCTTGAGTTATACTCATGTTCTTTTACTTTTTTATTTTATTTAAAGTCACATCCCTGCTTCAATGAAGTTCTTATTCTAATTGTCTCATAATTCATGCATAAATTTATTTAAGTCATACTAAATGAAAGAGCACTTGACATATTTCAAATATTGTTTACTTCTAGATCCTGCATCAATATGAACATATGTAAAATAACAAAAAAATCTCAGGTGAAATAAATTTACCTCATTTTCACTCAAGGCTTTCTTAGGTAAGCCTTCATTCAAAAGTACTAACACATATCACATCACGATTGATAAAAAAACTACATTGTTAACTACTAATGCTCAAAATTACTTTGCAAGCTTGCATGCATTCTCATATTCTTAAAACACTCTGTGATAGTTCTATTCATGCGCCCAACCACTTCATTCTATTTTGGTGTCCTAGAAGCAATGACTTCATGTTTGATTCCTTTTGAAGCACAATAATTCATGAAACTTTAATCATGAAATATTTGATCTAAGACACTTCAACCTCAAGGCTTTCCCAATTTAAACCATGACCTTCCACTTAAAAGCATTAAATACATCATATTTGCATTTTAAGAAATATACCCATACATTTCTAATGTGATTATCAAAGAAAGTAAAAAATTAGTGAGAATCTCTAATAGATTGAACTAGAATAAGACTATATACATCCATATGCTCTACCTCTTACTTTTTTTTACTTCACCTTTAACCCACCTTTAGAGAAAATAACCTTATTTTGCTTTTCAGACAATCTTCACAAAATTTTCTCTATAATTTTAAACCCTGAAGCTTGTTTTTAGAAAGTGGAGACTTCATATGTTTTTCACTCATATGACCAAGCCTATGGAGCCAAAGACCTTCATCATTCTTTGTTCCAGTTGCATCAATAGATTCAACCATCTCATTAATGAGGTAAAGAGTGACTTCAAAGTTGTCTTGAGACATCACTATTACCCCTTTAGTCACCTTTCATAAATCACCTATAAAAGTAGTCGCATACTGTTAACTTGTAAGTGGAATCACCAAGATCAAATTTCTCTTTAAATATGAAATATTTCTAACTTCTTTGAGCTTTTAGACTTATCCATTTGGCAAGTTGATATCAATATCACCACTTCCTACAATATTGTAGGTCTTGTTATCTCCAAAATAGTACTTTCCTAGATCAGTCTTAGCGTAGTTCTTAAACACAACTTAATTGAGGCAAATATAAAAAGAGACACATGAATCTACTATCCATAATTTTGTACTAACTATTGACTAACCAAAAAAGTCACCTTGGATTTTATCTATGGAGTTTTTTATAAAGAGCTTCCTATCTTGACCTCTACACCAAACCTTTTTCAGAGCTTACAGTTCATCTTGAAATAAACTTTCTTTTCATAGTTTCAACATTCACCTCTATCATTTCAATTTGCTTACCAGGACTTTCCTCACACAGAATTTCCTCTTCTTGAATTGAATCTTGCCTTGCCTGTGTTTCTATCTAGATTCATTCTCTTATTTTCAACATTTAATGCATAACCTAGAGTTGCACCGCTCATGTTCTTTTTGACTTCTTCATTTAACATTAACCCTACAATGTCACCAAAGCCTAACTTCATATTATTGGAAGAGTCGCTTACTATAGTGACTAGTCCATCTCAACTATATGACAATAAAGATAAGATTAATAGTGCATTGACCTTGTCATTAAACTTAATGCCCATAAGACAATTGGTTTGTCACGGTGTTAAAATTATTCAAATGTTCAATCACCGAACTACTAAACCACCATCTTCACATTGAACAATCTCTTCATCAAGAAAAATAAATTTATTTGAAGCTGAGGGCTTCTCATTATCCTTTTCAGTGCAGTCATTGGATCCACCATAGTTTTCTCATTCTTAATGTTGAAAGCAACAAATGAGGAAAGTGAAGGATAAGTCAAACCTAGTGTTGTTTGATCAAAAACTCCTGAAAGCAACAAATGAGGAAAGTGAAGCATAAGTCAAACCTAGTGTTGTTTGATCAAGAACTCCCCATTCTTCCAGAGCCTTCAATTTAGGTTTCTTGGTGTTTCCTTCGAGTGGCAGAAGAAAACTCTTTTGATACAATAAATCTTTAACTTTCATTTATTAAATTGTAAGGTTCTAACTATTGAACTTTTCTACTTTGTACCTTACTTCGTTGATCATTGTTGATCTTTAGAAAACCCTACACTGATACCGCTTGTTGAGAGAATATTTTTCACTTCCCTAAAACTTGTGGAGTTACACAGATTCAAGAGATCTGGAACAAATAAATTGAACAATAATAATGGAAAAAAGATTATGGAGGCATATCATACCAATAAACTCACAGTGAAATGAAAAAAATGTATATATTATACCACACTCAAATTCTCTCAACAATTGTAGAACTCACAAATGCTCCTCCTCTCTCATTCACACAAGAGAAATTACTAAAATCCACTTACAACTCCCATAAACCGCTTCAAGCTACTCCCTTTACACACTACCAAGAGAGTTCTCCAAATTTTGCATCGATGACTTAAATGCCTAAACTGCTCAAAATATTTCTGATGCTAGATCACCTATCTTGAGCACCAATTTTTTTAATCCTCTATTTATGAAATGTTGAAAAATATGCTCCTGGGCGTTGACTTTCCACACGCTTAGGTCCTTTAGCATTTAACTGGGTGACTAGGCTCCTCATTGGCGTTTGGGTGCTATCCGGGGAGATGGGTCAGCTCAGTATCAGTTCTAGAGCACCGTCTAAGCGTTGGTTTCAGCCGGTCAACTCTCCTTGTCAATCAGGCTCTGTACATAACACAAAATGACCAGTCAATACAATATAATAAAATTTGGCAATAGTTTCTTAATTTTTTATTTTTAATTTGGTTAAAAATTTTTTGGTATTTTTTAGTAAAATCTCATAAGCAAAATAATAGCAATGTGAGACAAAAATTATTATTTCTATTTGTATTATATTCATGTTGAATCCATATTTGTTTGTGAATTACATACACTAAAGGAATGGAGTGTGGGAAGAAGAGAGAAACATATGGAGAGAGAGGCGAGAGAGAAAGATGAACTTCTTTTGTATGTGATTTCAATAATATTACATTTAATAATTCCTTATTTATAGAGTGTTAAAATTACTGTGAAATGACAACTATACTTCCAAACCCTATTAATCGGTCAACCCCCAATCAATCAACTTCATTTAAGCGGTCTTCGAGTCTATTAGCATCTGGGTTGGTAGGCCACGGGTCGATTGGCCTTTGGTCAGCCGCTCGATCAGTTTTTGGTCGACTTACTACTGTCGCTTGGTCATCCTCAATATACATTAATTTATTCTCGTAGACCTTTTTCTGGTGATGTATGCTCCGCACTAAACCGTTCAATCAGCGTAAACTCTCTTCAAGGATATTTGTACGGTTCAATCCCTAATATTGATCTTTTCATCATACAACAACTTGTACATATCTATCCTAACCTTTTACCCCTGAGTCTTTATGTTATAACTTCCTAACATTTCAACATGTAATACTATTCTTATTAATATTATTATCTCGTACTGGCTTTGTATTTAATCCTTCATATTATCTAATTAAATAGAAACATATTATTAGTTCTATACTCAGCCAACTATTGCCCTCCACATGAATGCAAAGTGTGGATTGGATCAAAATAATTATATATATATATATATATATAAGCAAAATTCAAGGTGTATGCATGTTATAATTTAAATTAAATTGCGTGTGCAGTGACTTTATAGAGGATTGGGTCAAAATCTGCTCTGCGGCAAAGGAAACGGTGAAGAAAGAACATGCTGATCTCCCCTTTGAAGAACAGTGCTCAAAGTTGGAGAAGGTATGACAAATTAGCTATTTGCAACAATTCAAATGTCAACTTAATCTTCTTTTTGAAATCTCTAATATGTAATACAACCCCCCTTAACTTGTTGATTAGAAGCTTTAACTACCATTTAAGAGATCATGGATTTGATGCTTTACTGTGTGTAAATTATAATTCGTGACATTCACTATTTCTTCATCATCCTAAGAAAATAGTCGGCAATTAATCGCAAAATATGGCGCGAGAAAATCTAAATAATTACGGCCTAATTGTGAACTATATGTAAGAAAAATGAAGTGTTTAAATATTTTAATTAAACTGTCATTTAAAGCACATGAATTTTTTGGTGTATCACACAATTATTTAACATTGTTATATATGATAACAATTCATATTTTTTAATAATATACAACTCAATAAACTACAAATTTTATATTTTAATAGATAGCTAACTTTTGTTAGATCTCCACATAACATAGGCTTAGGGAGTCACTCTGCCCAACTAACTTTTGGATTGGGGATGGTATCTTGTCCAAAGCTTAAGATAGCATGCCACAACATGGAGCATTAACATTAACTAATCAGGGTGAATTTTTGTTAAGTATTGATAGATTAGGGTGATATTTGAGATTTGTGTAGCATTAAAATAAAATCATATTCTTAAGGATGACTTGCCAATAAGACATGATTTAGGCTAAGCAACATTATCAAATAAATAACATGGATTTAATATTGGGAGGTAAGTAATAAAGCATTTCAAATAATAACAAATTAGGCATTACATGAAATAATTATTGAATTATTTTAATAACACATTACTTCTCTTTCGTTCCCCATTCTCAATTTCATTGCCATATAAATACCTGCAGAAAGCTGTCCAAGTTTCTCTGGAGAATTTGAAGACTTACCCTTATGTTAAGGAAGGTCTGGAGAAAAAGACCCTAGCTTTGTATGGAGGATATTATGATTTTGTCAATGGTACTTTCGAGACGTGGGAGGCTTGAAACCATTATCATGGTGCTTCTCAGGTTTAAAACCTCGAGTATTATGTAATATTCGTGGAAACTTCAATAAATTTGTGTATTTTGAGTTTATGTGCAAGGGCTTTTTCACCATTATAACTATTTATGCGTGTGAATGCTTGCCTCATAGCTTAGAGGCAAAGAGCTTTAGCTCTCCATGGGCATTAAAGGTTTGAGCACCAACATGATGTATGTGTATGTGCAACAGTTTCATCCTCTCAATCATTTATTTTCGTGTCTCTTCGTGTTTTTAATTTTATCAAAAGAATGATTGTAACAGTTGAAGAGTTATTTTTAACATATGATATGAAAAAATGCACATCCCATATTTCTCAAGGACATTTAGAGGATTAATTGAGTGATGCTCATCAACTATGTTGATGATCAAGTTGGTATAGAAGAGTGAGTCATGAAACTTCTAGACAAGGTTTGACACTTCACGCTTAATTTTTCAAATTTTGGCTCAAATTATGTTGAACCAATTGATTCTGAAAAAAAAAAAAAACTCATCAAATTGGTAGATGTGGTCTTTATGGAAGGATATTATGCATGCTTGTGGCGGGTTTGGAAGCATAACATTTAGATTGGCCTATAGGGATTTGCCTCATATCAATGAATAAGTTGATGTTATTTTTGTCAAACTATTACCATTATAGACAAGAATTAAATATGATGTACCCTAATTATGACTATTATAACTAACTATTATTGAACATCTATGACTATCAGTTTTATAATTTCAGCTTCTTTAATTAAAAAAAAGAGTGGATCTATGTTCTTATAATTACATAGTGGATTGCTTTACTTGAGCTAGACCACATAATTTTTTTTTCCTTTTCAAGGTTATTTCGGGTAAAAATTCTAATGTATCATGTTATTTTTCTATTATTTGTGTGTGCATTAAGACATTAAAATTTTATTCTACCACCGTGAATCTTCCTACTCAACATTGTGAATAAGAAAAAAATCCACATTAGAAATATTGTCCGCCATCAAAAAATGAGAGAAAGAGAACTTTAAATACAAATGCTTATGAGATTCAAAGCCATTAGAACAAAGGTCACAATTCAGTTTAGCATTGATGTATATATTAATAAGAACATCGAACGTTTTCAAGCTCCCATGAATAATTATCCTAGTGTGCAAATCAAACTTCATGGAGTAATTTTTAAACCAAACCAGCATATACCAATCCTTAATATGCAAGTTTTCATAAATAAATTGGTAAACCAATTTATGATAATAATAGTCAATACCATCCAAAGGCGGTTAATACTATCATTAACAATAAGAATCTTATAAATTAGTTGAAGACAAACATTGGGGACAACTTGATGATGAGGAAAGACTCATTTGTTATCAATTATAAGCTCACCAAACTTAGTATTATTAGGAAAGTGGAGCCAACTATAAAAAATATTATTAGTTTGGCACCTCAAGTTCTTAGAACTTGAAGTTAAGCCATACATAAAGAATCAAGATATTTTAAAATTGTAAAATGAAATATTCGAAAAAAAAAAACCTTTATAAAATTGAGTTAATGTCTTTCCTAAAATCGTCTCAAAGTTAATGAACATTTAGCTAAAATTTATTTAAATTATTTTTAAATATTATATTAAATTTATTAATGAATTTGAGAATTTACTAAAATTTATTTTTTATTTAATTAATTTGTTAGTATTTATTATTTTTAGAAAATTTAATTACTAGTAGTCAAATGCAAAACCAAAAAAAAAAAAAAAACACCTTGGAACCAAGGATCGTAATAAAGGGGAGAATACTCAGTAATTAACCTAAAAAAAACTGTACTTATTTTAGCTGACAACTTAATAAGAACTTTCCAAAAAAGAAAGCATGATAATGAATATTTCACCCAATAACGCCATAATGAATAATACACCAACTAACTAAATAAGAATTATAATTATAATGCCTCCAGATAATTTTGGATTTTCACATAATGTTAATTTTATCAATTGATGGGATCCCAAGTCCACTATAGGATTTAGGCAAAGTAATAACATTCCAAGTGAGTAGAAAACAAATTCGCCTGCTTCCAAATAGCTAGACAACTATGAAGCTTAATAAGATGCAACAACTAAGAAATGTTTCTCTAAGCAAAAATACAATTTAGTAGGAACATAACTAGAAATAAAGCATGCTTGATTAATAAATAGGAGGAAACAACTAAAATGCAAAAGAATATTTGTTTTTGATAAAAGGAATGAACCATTCTTTTTGAAGGGAGAGAGGGAGAGTGAAAAGGGAGAAGCTTTAGAAGTGATTTTGGGGTTTCGATGAGGCTTCAATTTCTCTTTCTCAAGAAAGTTATATCTCAGCTCTTTCATCCTCTTATTCTTTTATTGTGTTTTCTTTTACAATTATTTCTACCAATGTGGAGCTATTTTAGGTTTCGTCAAGTGACTTCACTTCACAAGAGATGATTTAGGGCCTCTTTTCTTGGAGCATTCTGATGACATTTGGAGACACTAAGGTTTTGGCTTAGAAGCTCCTTCCTCTTTCCTTACTCTTGAAAATTTTACTTGGATCTTAACTGTTGATTGGCTATCTAGTCTTTTCTTTTTGTTTTTGGGGCTTTGCTCCTTTTTTTTCTCTTTTTGTAATAGATTTAATTTCTTATCCTCCCTCCTTTCTTCAACTTCTCCCTCTCATTCCCTTCTTGGGGCTACCCCTTCTTTAAACTAGAAAGGGTTTATATCCTCTCACACTGTTACTTATGATATTCATCTTTCTTATTTTCTATGCACAAAAGAGTATCATGCATATGAAATGTGCTTATTTGTCATCTAAATTTCATCTTTTATGTTTATTTTATGAATTTTAAAAGTTTTCAATGTTGTGTTGTAGGACTCAATGAAGGAGGTTAATCGAAGCCCAAAATATCTCAAAATGGAGCAAAGTTGTTGAACCAGTGCCTAGGCGTCAGGCGCTAGGACTGGCACCTAGACGCCCATGAATGAGTTCTTTTGGAAAATTTTATCCCCCAAACAAAGTGGATGGAAGGTAGACACCAGCATACCAATACCTAAGCCTTGGGATTGGGTGCTTAGGCACCCCTCATGCACAAGATAGAGTGACTGGAAAAGAGTTAGTCATGCCTAGGCATCAAAGAATGAGCACTTAAATGTTGCCTTTGGCTGTCTAGGTCTGGTTGCCACCTAGAATTTGTCCAAAATACAGATCACTTAGAAAGTAGGTGCGGTGACAACAGCAAGTAGATGCCACACGTATCTGGGTATCTAGTTGCCCGAAGCCCTAAACCTAGACTTTGTGACCAGCCCTTAGGTGTCAGTTCAAGTGAATTGACAGTTTTTAGCAGTTGGTACATATCTCTTCGTTGGTAGAAGTATTTAAATGTTGAATACAAATATGGGTCTTCTCTGTCATTTTGGAGCATAAAACATTCAAGGAGAAGACTAAGGAAGATCCGTAAGGTGCTTTTGAAAGAAGAAATGAGAGTATTTAAGAGGATTGAAGGATGTAACTTTCTATTTTATTTCATCATCTTGTTCTGCTAGGGAAGGGGACAAGTACAATCAAGTTTGCTTTTTAACTTGAATTTCTTTATAAGACTTGGTGTATGGTTATTTGCGTAACACAATGAATTTCTTTAGAGGATTATTTTGTTGCCCTTTTTCTATAAATTTCACCCAGTCCTGCGTCGTTCTAGTGCAAAAAACTTCTTGCAGAGTTGTGTCAGTCTCTACCCCAGAGTTGAAAATGATGGAGATGAGGTTCGCAAGGTTGTAGGAATGTTTTGGAATCAGTTTGGCAGAGCTTCGCCAAGGTTTGTACACCTATCTTTTTTTGGCTATGAGGGGTTCCTTCTTATAGGCTCAACCATGGAGCTTGATTGGCCAACTAAGAGGTCCACGGTGGTGATTATGTGGATGAAAGACAATTGCAAGATTCCAATTAGGGTGAGCCACATTGGATGGGTTTAATTTTGACTTTTGGTCATAGAGGTGGCTCTCGGTTTTGGGTTTTCCGGTGACCAAGGTGGTCGGCCAAGGTGTAGGAGGTCACCATCTGACTAAGGGAGCTCAATGGTGGAGATTGGTGAATTCAATTGGGTTATGTCATGTGTATAATGGTAGATTGAAGTGGAATGGGGTTTAGGCCACTTTTGTTCAACACATGGGTTTGGTTCATGACAGTGGGTTTGGCTTACTCTCAAGGTGGCTTGGGTTGATGGGGGTCAGCTTGATTAGTGTGGTCAAGTCCTCATCCAAGTGATTAGAGCTTAAGCATGTGTTAGAAGGAATCATTGAAGTAGTTAAGTGCTTTAAGTGGAATCAAGAAATACCCCCTCCCCTTTCCTTTTTCCAAAACTGGCATGGTGACATGGAAAGGCTCACATGGCTCACAAGTGGCTTGGAGGTGGCTTCATGACTTGCATATGTCTTGATCAATTTTCATTAAGAAGGATTTTGAGATTTTTTTGGTATTTTATGTGGTGTTGCCATAAATTCAAATACGAGGAAATTTAATCATGCATGGTATGGTGTATGGTTTGGTTTGATTAAATGGATGATGAGGGAAATTTGTGTGATGATAGAGTGGGTTTTTGATTTTAAAATAAATTGAAACTTCGGCTCGGATCTGATGAGGATTTAAATTAACCATGGATTGGTGAATTTTGGAAATTTTCATGATGATGTTTAGGACATGAATTAGGTGAAATTGGATTTGGATTTTGAATTGGTTGGATTTAGGATGATTTGGTGTAAATTAAGGGCAATTTGGGCATTTTGGTGGGAATTAGGTATTTTGGGATTTTTTTTGGGATTTTCGGGTATTTGATGGATTTGGGTGAATTAGGGTTAGTAGGATTGGTCTTGGCGGAATTTTTAGTTAAATTGAGGAATTTGGTTAATTTTGGGTATTTTGGTAATTTTGGCTAATTTTTTTCATTTTGAGGTAATTAGATAATTTGGGAGGATTTTTAGGCATTTTGGTGGATTAGAGTTATGGTGGATGTGGGTGGATTAGGGTTATGGTGGATGGATGGAGTGTGAAGTGGTGAGAAAAGGGTATGACGGTGTATGTGAATTGTAGTAGTGTATCAATTGTGTGTGAAATGTGCATGTGGTGTGAGGTGAGTATCCGAGCCATGAAGGGTTTTCATAAGGCCTTGTGACTTTATGGGAACTAATTTTTTAGACTTCACATGTTGGTCCTAGTCATCTCAATTAAGAGTTGGGGACTTGAGACCACC